TACTTTTGGAGGAAGATGAAAAAGGAAAGAGACATATATGCGGATATAAGAGTGGCGCCTTCAAAGAGAGTGAAAGACATTACCATTCGACCTACAAAGAGATTCTTGCAGTGAAAAGAGGAATTGAAAAGTTCGAGTTTCATCTAGTAGGCCAACATTTTCTTATCGAGATGGATATGTCCTCTTTCCAGAAGATGATACAGTTCAAACAGAAAGTCATTCCGCAATCTCAATTACTAAGATGGGCAAGTTGGTTCTCACAGTGGAAGTTTGATGTCAATCATATAAAAGGAAAAGACAATTTTCTTCCAGACTTCCTTTCAAGAACCCAACGACAAATTTCAACCATCATTCCAGTCATCTACACTCTCACTCCAAAAAATTCAGATGAACAAGCTCTAAAAAGGATGATTACTAATCTACCCTTAGAGATGCGCGGGGAACTGCTCAACAATGTTCTCGTATGTAGGGGAGTTAGAACATTACATGGTTTTCTAAAGCTCTATGTCCACAGATACGGGCTCGACCAAGGGCCACTACTTGGTTTACCTTATCATCCGATATACCCCTTCCTTACTACCATTAATATGAACCCTGCTCACTATGGTAAATTCCCGAAGGAAGCATATCTTCTGTTGTGGTATCTGGCAGACCTCTAAAGCATTGCGGTAAATTACAAACACATAATGGGTACAACCACGTAGGAGGTATTATAGGATCGAGATATATGAATCAAATATTTAAGTAAATATATAAGTGTTTATGGAAGAGAGTATATATATATATATAAGAGAAAGCTTTATTATAAGAACACACTCAAGAGAATACAAAGGACTCTTTAGGACTTAGGATTTTAGATACTTCAGCTTATCGTGAACAAGCCTCACCAAGCTCCTTATTTATAGTGTATAACCTAAGGAATATTACATGGCATATTCCTTTCTTCACACTTATTATACATACTTTACTTCACACCATAATACACATCAATACTTTACTTCACACCATATTTCACATCAATACTTTGCTTGATATTTCACATCATGTCTTTATTTATTTCACATCAATACTTTGCTTGATACTTCACTCCATTTCCCCCTGTCTCCAAAAGAGAGGTGACTTCTATCTTATCCATTGTCGTCTTCTTTTTCACTGTCAGAGACGTCATGCATAAAGGAGATTCCGTGGCTAGGGATGAAATACCTGACTTGGTATCTCTTCCTTTCAACTCGGTAGATTGGATGGTCACGATTTGAACGGGGCCACGCGTACTGATCATGGAAACCCAAAAGTATTTGTCGTATCTCTTCAACAAAATCTCGAGGGTACACGTGTCGATTATGCCAGTGAGCCGTGTGTGGACAAAAGAGATTTTGGTCAATTTCTGACTCATTGAATCCATTTAGCCTTGCCAGTTGTATTGTCCTGTGATGGAAGTTACTCGAGCTGAATGCATCATCATTGTAGCTTGTCACTATCTGAGCTTCATAGGTGTACTGAACTGTAGTCTCTCCATCTTTTTCATCTTAGATTTTTGAAATGTTAAATATCACCAGTATCTCTAATCCTTCTTGTGCACGAATATGTTCTTGCCACCATGTAGCGTCATGAAATAAAGTGAGCCACTTGTAGAGGATCATGTAGTGTGGCTTTCTCCTTGTTAAGAGGCACTTTGCCAAGTATTGTAGTAGCTGGCTCTTATGAACAATCACCGCAATGCTGTAGAGGTCTGCCAGATACCACAACAGAAGATATGCTTCCTTCGGGAATTTACCATAGTGAGCAGGGTTCATATTAATGGTAGTAAGGAAGGGGTATACCGGATGATAAGGTAAACCAAGTAGTGGCCCTTGGTCGAGCCCGTATCTGTGGACATAGAGCTTTAGAAAACCATGTAATGTTCTGACTCCCCTACATACGAGAACATTGGTGAGCAGTTCCCCGCGCATCTCTAAGGGTAGATTAGTAATCATCCTTTTTAGAGCTTCTTCATCTGAATTGTTTGGAGTGAGAGTGTAGATGACTGGAATGATGGTTGAAATTTGTCGTTGGGTTCTTGAAAGGAAGTCTGGAAGAAAATTGTCTTTTCCTTTTATATGATTGACATCAAACTTCCACTGTGAGAACCAACTTGCCCATCTGAGTAATTGAGATTGCGGAAGGACTTTCTGTTTGAACTGTATCATCTTCGGGAAAGAGGACATATCCATCTCGATAAGAAAATGTTGGCCTACTAGATGAAACTCGAACTTTTCAATTCCTCTTTTCACTGCAAGAATCTCTTTGTAGGTCGAATGGTAATGTCTTTCACTCTCTTTGAAGGCGCCACTCTTATATCCGCATATATGTCTCTTTCCTTTTTCATCTTCCTCCAAAAGTACTGCTCCCCAATAGCAGTCACTAGCATCTGTTTGTAGAATTCTTTTTCCTTTTGATGGGATCTTCAGTGCTGGTAATGTCTTTGAGATTCTTTTTAACTCTTTCACTGCTTCTGTGCACTTCTGACTCCATGGTGGTGCATCTTTTCGTAGTTGAGAAGAGAGAACTTCTCTGTGCTTTGCTAGACCGTGGATGAAATCCGCCATATAGTTGACAATGCCTAAGAATTGCTGAACTTGCTTGAATGTTAACTTTTCATCAGGAAATTCGTCAAGTTGAGTTGCAATATGCGGCTGGAGATGATATTCTCCCTCTGAAATGTGCATACCCAAAAAGTCGATTTCTGTTTCTCCAATGACCATTTTCTTCTCTGAGAGCATGATTCCATATTATTGCACAATGTCATGGAACTTCGTTAATAGGACGGTGTGGGAATCAATATCTGGAGAGAACAGTAGTATGTCGTCGATGTAGACCAGCGCATTCGAGAGGATTGGCTCAAAGATCTTTATCATGGCTTTCTGGAATAGAGAAGGAGCTACCTTTAATCCAAAAGGCATGACTTTCCAGTGATAGTGCCGGTCTGGTACACAAAAACCTGTCTTCGGTCTATCTTCATGTTTAATTCCCAGTTGCCAGAAACCAGCTTTTAAGTCAAACTTTGAGAAGATTTGTGTTTGTGGGAGTTTTTGGAACAGAACTTCCCTCTTTGGCAGTGGGAACTTGTCATCGGCCAAGAAATGGTTGAGAGGCTGGTAGTTGATGACTAGTCTTAGCTTGCCTCGTACTTGTTCCGCTCTCTTGTTGACATAAAAAGCTTCACAAGCCCACGGTGAATCAGTTTTTTCGATGAGGTCTTCTTTCTGTAGCTGCTCAACTTCTTCAATCGCAAGATTGTAATGGTCTGGATTCATTCCTGGGTGACTAGCCTTGGTAGGGTTGATATCTTCATTCTTCTTGAAAGGCAGAGATATGAAAAACTCTGGATTCTTCCACAATGGTGTTGAGCATTTTGTGAGAAACTCTGAATGAGAGGCGGCACAAGAGGTTTTAGCAATTTCTTCCTTGATTGGACATAGGATCTCTATAGGATAGAGATGAGACACTGTCGTCCAGGGTAGCAGTTGGTTTTTGTGCCTTAATCCTTTTGGATGCCATGTGACTCTTTGGAGGCTATGAAGAACATCAAATCCGAGGATGAAGTCTTTTCCAGGGAGTTCTGAACCATATACTTTTGTTTTGATCATATATCCTGGAAAGAGTTGGATGTAGATTGGCTTACTAACGAGGGAGATGTGGAATGTTTGACCATTAGCTGCCTTAAATGAAACTGAACATGTATTCCAATGTGAATCCGGAAGGATATCCGGTTTGATGATAGAAGAAGCAGCTCCAGTGTCAAAATATGCAATGACTGGTATAGGCTTGTCATATTTGGTAGGGAGGATGTAAATCTTCGCATTTGGTGAAGGTTGAGACAAGTAGGCCAGTTCTCCATCATCTGATTGTTCTATTCTGCAAGCATCAAAGGTGTATAGGTCAAGTAACATCAGTTGATCATCTGGATTTTCTTCATCATCAGTATCAGATCCAGAATACTCATCTTCTTGCTCTATCCCCATTGCAAGTACTGTATCATCTGTTGGCTCATCCTCAAGGGAGAAGATAGATTCGATGTCGGAGTCATCGATATCTTCAATTTGCGCCAGATATCCAAGAAGATTATCTCTCTTTTTCTTGTTTGGGCACTGTTTTGCATAGTGTTCTTTCTTCTTACAGATATAGCATCTGTCTGACTTCTTGAATCATCTTTGTGTTTTCTTCCTGAGGAACTTCCACTTCTTCTTCGCTGAGAATTGCGGATACTTCTTTTGCCATCTCTTTTTGAATTTTTTCTCTGCTCCGAAGCCTTTAGAGCAGCTGCATTTCTTCTTTCTGCATTTGATGGAAAGTTCCGGGCGGTCGCATGCTTTTCCGAGGAGCTTTCCTTGTTCATGGAGTTGTTTGAAGAATTGCTGAGAATTGAATAACCTTTCAAGTGCAGAGAGGGAAAGCTGGTAGATTTCTCCAAGCGAAATCTGGTTAAGTTGCATGTTCTTGATTGACATGATCCTTGATGTTTCATTCCCAAGTGGTTCTGGAAGTGAATTTAGGTACGTCTGTTTGATATTGACGTCATCGATTCCATTTAGTGCATAGAATCGTTTCGACATCCGTTCATAATGTTTCTCTAGATCCCTTCTTCTGAAAGAGCAGCACTTCATATTAAGGTATTCTTCTCTTGCTTGGTCAGTATAATGATCCCATGTTCCAAGGAATTCATTGTGAATATGACCCATAAAAGCATCTATGGTGGGAGATTGCTTCATTTGAAGTTGTCGGTATGGACCTAGACTTATCCACCACTGTCGCAGACGGCCTTGGAACTTTGATACCATTTTGTCAATGACCATGGACAATGATGCTCCCGGGTTAAGGAGTTGCTCAGTTAGCCATGCATGCATCTCAAAAATCTTGTCTCTCCACTTTGAAGGAGAAATGTCATCAAACGAGAAACCTTTGTGTGGTTCCGTGGCTAACTTTGGATTCCAGTCTAGTGGAACTCTGTAATGTGGGTAATTCTCTTCGGATATATGCCCATCATCACTCTCCATATCTTCGTTCTCAACAGTTGGTTCTGCCATCATGAAATTTGGGATAAAAGACTCTTCATCATGTGAATCTTTAATTTCTTTGATCACTGCTTTCTTTTTGGAACTTCCGTCTTGTTTTGCCACTTTTTGGAGAAAAGTAGTTATTGGATTGACATGTTCCACCATCAACTGTGATGGACTCTCCGCTGGCTGATTCTTGGATGTAGATGGTTTATCTTGGGTTATTTGTGATGTAGGTTTTTCAGTATGTTTTTTCTTTTTTGTGACAGGCTGTTCTGGGGTGAAACGGGTTGGTAAGAAAGATGATGATCCAAATATACTTGGGTCTTGGGAAAATGAAAGAGGTTGTGATTGGGCTGCGTAGGATGGTGTATATATAGGGTAAGGTGTAAAGAGATCATAAGGCATTTGGGGTTGAGTTTGTGGCTGATTTTGTAAGGAATTTAGTTGGGCTTTAAGGCTTTTTAGCTCAGATTCCTTTTGGGCCATAATAGGAGAGTTTATGGAAACAGTAGTAGCCAACTAGAGGAGTTCTTGATGGAGGGAAGACATCTTTTTTGTTATCTCCTGTATAGAGAGTTCCAAAATGGTTACCTTTTTGTCGATCTGGCTCAAGAGATTGTTTTGGCTTGCAGCATTTTCTGATTGCCAGTTCAAAGTAGCTTCAGCCGCACTGACTTGCTTTACTGTTCCGTCTGGATTCTTTATGTTTGGATTCTTGATCTTCCATGAGTGCTTGATACTATTTTCTTCAAACTCTTTTGATGGAAATGGTGACTGAGATGGAGGACCAAACATGTAGCTCAATGGTGGTTCTTCCCTATCTGGAGTTGCTGGGGTGGAACCATTCGAATACAAAACATAGTAATCGAATTTTCCACTACTTGGCTCTCCAAGAAGTCCAACCTGGGGATCTCCTGATTCATATCGTTCTTTGAGAATTTGTTGTGAAGATTTTCGTCCTCGTCTTCTCCTTGGAACTTCTTCCTCCTCAGAGTCATCTTCTAGGCATTTCTGACAATCACAAACATCAAAGAATTTGTGGCCATCGTCATCCATGAATGCGTATACAGGGTTTCCAAGCGAGTCAAAGGAAGAGATTGGAACGCCGGGTAAACGAGAATCTATCTCCATAAACGGTTTTTCGCAAGCAGGAGTGATCATGTTGATTTCAGTGCAAAAAGCTGCTGGTCTTGATTTTTCTTCTTGTGCTTTGAACGCGATTTCTACAGCTCCATCTTTTCTTCTGTGGATAGAAGAATCCACTGATTGTATAGGGGTACTTCTCTCATGGAGTTTTTCATAGTTTGTCACCCATGATTCTGGAAGTAGCTTGACTAATTCGCTTCTTGGGATTTGTCTTGGAATGTGAATGCATGATGGACTATGTTGTGACTCAAGTTGGATGAGCAAAGCGTCTTCAGTTTCACGTGGAAGACTTAGATCCATAGCATGATTCTGGACTCTATACGCCATTTGGTGGTGCAGGGTTGCTGCATACGTGTTTCCGATTTGTGGAGCGCCAGTAATTTGTAGCTGGATCTGCATGTTCTGACAGATTTGTGGGTCTTCTAGAGCCACATTAAAGTTTGGGAAAAGAGTCACGAAGACAGTGCCAGCATTTAGCGTCGTCTGGATAGTTGCTATGCATGCATGTTGGTACTCTCTGTATCTGGTGTCGAGGAGAGCGACTCTTGCTACAACCGGTAAGCCTTTTCTACCATGAAGGGTTAAGGCTAGGCGGATGGCTCCATAGTGGAGGTGTGTATAGCCAAGACTTCGCCAATGGTGTATCATTCCTTCATTAAGGCAAAGAGGAACCATTTGCTCTGCTTCCGTTGCAGGGACTAAAAACTGTTCTAGAGGAGATGCTAGAACGAGTTCTTTAGCAGTATGTTTGTTAGGTACAAACACTTGTCTAATGGCTTTAGGAAAAGTGGAACTTGGCTTAGAGAAGGCTTTATAAGGATTTAGCAAAGGAAGCTGGGTAATAGGAACTTTACTCTCATCACTCATATACTCTATTTCATATAAATAATCTACTTTTTTAGAGGTGGATTTGCGGAAAAAAGGTGTTTTGGACAAAGTTGACATATTTTCCATAATAGATAAAAAGTCCAGAAACCAAGACAGAAAGCTAATAACTTCTTCTCAATCTTCAAAGTAGTAACAATCCATAAGTTGTTTTCATGGGACTATTAAGTGGTAAGAACGTAAAGAAATGATCATGAGGTATTAGCTACGCAAACCGAGGCAAACAACTTTCATCATCAATAAAGCCTCAAGGTACTTCGAGCATTACAACCTCACGGACCTTTTCTTTAGATCTTTTATTCAAACTTAGCAAGATTTCTGATGTGGAGGATCCATTAAAATTGGCAACCACAAAGCATACTTTCCATGCAAAGCATATAATAGAAAACAACGCTATGGCGTACTACCTCTTAGATATCGAAGAGTCAAAGCTTAGACTGCCATGGCTCTGATACCAAAATTACAGACACATAGTGGGTACAACCACGTAGGAGGTATTATAGGATCGAGATATATGAATCAAATATATAAGTGTTTATGGAAGAGAGTATATATATATATAAGAGAAAGCTTTATTATAAGAACACACTCAAGAGAATACAAAGGACTCTTAGGACTTATCGTGAACAAGCCTCACCAAGCTCCTTATTTATAGTGCATAACATAAGGAATATTACATGGCATATTCCTTTCTTCACACTTATTATACATACTTTACTTCACACCATAATACACATCAATACTTTACTTCACACCATATTTCACATCAATACTTTGCTTGATATTTCACATCATGTCTTTATTTATTTCACATCAATACTTTGCTTGATACTTCACTCCATTTACTCTTCAAAAAATTCAAAGGTATCATAACGTAGTTGTTTATTGGTGTCATGTGCCTACGAAAACAAAACAACAAATTAATAACAAGTAAACGTAAGCAATATTCACTTTTATTTTTGTTTTAAGAGAACTGGGAAACTTACTTTTAGATAATACTCCCAAACTTCATCCTGAGCTGTAAATTTCTTTGTTAGAGGATCCCAGCGAGAACCCAAACTAAAACGTTGTAGATCAAGCCTGATTTGGCATTGTTGCTCTAAATACTTCATTATGCTTTGATAATGATTGTAATTTTTTGGACGACCAACATTGTTGAGGTGTTTGTTGATTTCCGGTAGAATCTTGGACTCCATAGTTAGCTTACTCATTGTGCAATTAAAATCACGCCAATAATTGTGGATCCCTTCCACAAGAAGTTGTACCAACAACCTAGTCTCATCGTGAGACCACATATTATAATCCCCTTTTTTTTTTGAATCTCCCATAGTGATGGCTGCCTGATCATACACCAAATTACAGAGACAAATCTACGTTAACAAAAAATAAGTTACAAGCACATTAATGAAGAAATAACCAGTAAAGAAATAATGAAACCACATTGCAAAACAAGGAAACATATATTCTGATGGGGGAAAAAATCTAATAATTATCATGTATGTACGTGCTAATCATCATATATATATACGTACTTGAGAGAAACATACATATATTAATAAATTTGCAAAAAGTAAGAACAAACATAAGGAACCTTTCCTTTGGAGTCTTGAGCTATTATGTTTGAGAGAAGAGATGAAAGTACGTACTATTTATATAGATAGTAGTGATAAACACTAGGTTAATATTTATATAATAAAAAAATGTGTGATTATATTACGATGATCATGGTAATATTCTAATTGATATGGTTCTATCATTTACTAAAAAACAGTTACTAACTTTCGTAAAGATTCTTTACTACATATGTCATTGAGCTTATGTAAACGTAGTTCATAATTAATTATTGTTTTTTTTGTCAAAAGTAGAGTCTTTATATCTCCATGGCCACAAGTAGAGTCTCACGTGTCTCATGGTTTCTTCTTTGGATCTCTCTTCACCCTCTTCGTCTCAAAAGGGTTGTTCGTTAATTTCAGCTCCATAGCCATAATCTATTTTCCTTCTCCGGTTATAACCTTGCCGCTTTTTTACTACCGGTCTGGAAGAAGAGCTTTGAGGATGAAAAAAGTTTGACTTCACACCGTTCTTGAAATATCTTCACGGGAGTAATAATCATCGGAGAGATAGTTCATGCATGTACATATATATATGTTTTAAATTTGATAAGAAAAACTCAAAGTTCATAATTAATAATTAAAAAAAAAAATTCAATGGTTTAAAAGAACTTGAAGAAAGAAAAACTAAAACATGAACCTTATAAGAAAACTAATAATAAGTCAATTATCTTTGGCTACCAGTATTAATAACATCTCTCCACATATCTGCAGCTATAGTCGCTCGCCAATCTCTTGCATACTCTCTCTCTCTCTCTTTCTTGAGTTTCAATATTTTCTTCACCACCAATTTCTTCAGGATTTTGATTTTCATTTTCAGCATCTATTTCATCTTCTTCATCACTAGCAAATTCATCAGACCGACATTTTTGGCAAAGAAAGTTATGCAAGCCAGCACATGCAAGAACTATTTTTGCTTGTGTCTTAAAAGAAAATGGTGGTGCACATTTAAAAATCGAAAACCAAGATTTAAATATACCAAACATTCTTTCGATAACATTTGTTAAGGATGCATGGCGAAGGTTAAACAGTTCATTTTTATTTTCTGGATCACGCCCTTCACCGCGAAAATCTTGTAGATGATAACGGGTACTTCGTAGTGGAGCTAACAAATTACGTCAGTTTGGAAAACCACAATCAACTAAATAATATTTTCCTAAAACATGGAAACACATTACTAAAAATAAATATTATCACATAATAAATATTTGAATTAGAGAGTACCTTCTCGAACTTGCAATATGTTAGTTCTCCTTGTTAAAGCATCTTGTAAAACTTTTGAGTCGTGTGCGGAACCTTCCCATCTACTTAGAACATATATGAACTGAAGATCAAATTTGAAAATAGCTAGTACATTTTGCGAAACCACTCCTTTCGATTACGATAACTTGCCTTTTCGGGACCTTGTACCATTGCATCTATGTGTGTGCCATCCATAGCTCCAACACAATCCTAAAATATATTCAACATTGTTACTATAAAACCATATAAAAAATATTTACAGAAAAAATGTACCTTGAAGTAAAAATAAAATCTTTTGCTTTTGCTTATTTTTGTGGGTACTGTATTAGTAGGCTTGGCCATCAAAGTCGGTGCAAGCATGTTTAAAGCTCCGAGAACCTTATGAAAATAAATACTTGCTGCGAATTTTGATCTTTTAAAAGTGTCCTTCGTATGACAATAACTTGAATTTTGGCCTACTGTCATCAAAAAGGTAGCAACCATCTCTTCGACACACATATGTTTTGTACCTCTCAACCCGGTCTTCTCTTTGATAAGATAGCATAAATCTGCAAAGACCTCAGGATACATACGATATACTTCTCGGAAATTAGTAGGATCTGTTAAAGCCTGTTGTATATAAGTGTGTCCCTCTTTAGTAATTTGTCGTCGCATGGGTCGTTCTATTTGATTCTCATAAGCATAGACAGATCCCACGACCATCAATAACATGATATCTACATCTGATTTATCTTCGTCCTAATGATTTTGATCCATTACAAAAAACCTACACTGACTATAGTATTATAATTAGATCACTATCCCAAAACAAATGCCACTGTATAGATCAAAAACCGAAACTATTGTGCTGATAGTACATTGGAGTGAAAAGTGTACAGAAATAGATAACTTACAGAAGGTAGATCTTGACCTTGAACGAGATCTGCAAAAGTCCGAGAAACAATTCCAGTTTTAAAAATCCAATATTTCTGTGTTTAATAACTGTTTCACCAAGACCCTTGATGCCTCATTCCATGTCAGACATCAAAATGTTATCACAAGAAAGCCACACACAAACAAAAAAGATAACTTCAAACGATTTCTAGCAGAACATAAAACCACCACACACATGCATTTCGTTAAAACAGATTTTGCATTTTTTGCAAGTTAATATCATTATAACTTCAGTCAAAACAAAGTCAAAAACAAATTAAAAAAAAAAATCAGTTTTTTTGCAAGTTAAGAGCAACAAAAATCAAAAGTGAAAAAGATGAATCATACAATCTATAAGATGGTCACTACTCACTAGTTATGATTAGAGATAATAAACAGATGAAAAAGGAGAGAGGGAGAGCTAGAATGCATAATTACCATGAAAATGAATAAAAGGGAGACGTAGAGAGAAAAGAGAGGTCACGTACGTGACGTAATATGCAGATTTTTGTTTATCACAAATGATTGTGAAATCTCAAGCTAATGGGTTGGTGTTAGGATTGATATAGTTTACACGTGAAATCAGTTTCAAGATTCATTCAAATCTTTTCAAGTAAAATCATTTGTGAAAATCCATCAAACCTTAATAACATAAAACTTTAGTTAACAATTGTAAATACAAGAACCAATAACACTTTATTTTAAAGTCTTATAATATAGACATAATAAATTAGAGAACCAATAACACTTAATTTTTAATGAAAATATATAAAATATAAGAACCAATAACACTTGATTTAAAAAAAATATTTAAAATCAATGATAGAATAACACTAGATTTAGATTAGAGTTAAACTCTATTTAAATTTACTGACGAATAACACCACCTTAGAAGACATAAACATATTTGTATCTTCAGTCAACAAGAATACATTATTCAAATCGGAGTTAAGTCAGAAGTCAGAACTCTGAAATTGTCAATTCACATTTTTTTTTTAATTCAATGTTGAAGAAAAGGTTTTTTGCAAATTAAAAATGTACTCAATATTGCTCCAGAAATTTACAAAAAGGCCTTATAAAGCACATTTAGCTTAAGTAATCAAACACCAAAATAATATATACTAAACTCCTCTATTTATAAGTTATGTATATATATTAAACTATATTTTAAAATTAATATCCCTGTTATATAAAAATGTTTTAAAGAAAAATGTATTATAATTTCTTCCTTCTAAAAAAATCATAAAATCTTTTTTACTTTTAAAAAACACAATATTGTATGATTTACTATATATTCATTTCTACCAATTTCTAACAATTTATATTTACAAACTACATTATCAAGCATGAATTTTAATCTAAACAAAACTATAATTATAAATAATATTACAAAAAACTATATTATGAAAATATTCCTCCGCACTGTAGCGCGGGTCCGACCCTAGTTTGGATTAACTTTCATCCTCATCTCTCTAATGGCCCCCATATTCACCACCAGCTCATGGGTCCACCTCTCTTAACGGGCTTCACGTTCTTTCACTAGGTTCATGAGCCCATCCATATCCGACGGTCGGTTTTGCTATGTCCGGGGGGCTTAAATACTTGTTTACCGACCCTACAAATCACCACATGATCTTTCCCTCTGTTTTGGCCTTACTCACACAATTCCAACAACCACTTTGGAAGGTCATCTATCATTTGCCTACTCTATCATAAGCACGCTTAACTGTGGAGTTCTTTTAGGACATTTGACAGAAAAGATAAGTGCACTTTGGTGACATAGGTGGCCAAATCAGTTCATTTAAACCTCTCCGCAAACCGGGGTCTCACAATTCTCCCCCACTAACAGGCTGCAACGTCTTCGTTATGCACCAAGACTGTCACACCCTGACAATGTTAGCCCACCAGTCCACACTTGTCTGGGTTTGGCTCTGATACCACACCAGTCCAATGGGCCCCATGTTTACCACCAGCTCATAGGCCCACTTCTCTTAATGGGCCTCACCTCCTCTCACTAGGCTCGTGAGCCCATCCATATTCGATCATCGATTTTGCTACGTCCGGGAGGCTTAAAGACTTGTTTACCGACCCTACAAATCACCACATGATTTTTTCTTATGTTTTAGCCTTACTCACACAATTGCAACAACCACTTCCCGGAAAGTCACCACATCTTTTGTCTACTCCAGCATAAGCTCGCTTAACTGTGGAGTTTTTTCAGATCCTTTGACCAAAAATATATGTGTACTTTAGTAACATATGTGGCCAAATCAATTCATTTAAAACTCTCCGCAAACCGGGATCTCTAAATTTCCATTTCCGATTACCACCACTTGGTGTTTGATTTAAAATCTCATTTTTTAATCAGAATTTCATTTTTGTATTTTTGTATTTTCATAACTGTGTTAGAAAATTATCAATTATAAAGTTTGTTAAACTAATCTTTCCCTTTTTTCTATGATAATAAGATTGATTGTCGTTAAAAAAAACAAAAATGGAATTCTAACCGAAGAGCTTTAGAATTTGTATAAAGGAAGTACTATATCATTTATTTAATAACTTTAACATGCTTTTTTTGTATGTCTCACAAATTGACATTCTCTTAATGAAATTATACTTGGTCACAAATTGACGTTCACTCAACGAGTTTTGTACTTTGTCTTTGCAGAGCTTTATACAACAAAACACACTTTTTTTTGGGCATAACTAATATACAGCCCAATAACTTTTATTACCAAAACCCAACATCTCCTTGTCTTCGCCAACCCCCAACATATCCCAAAAAAACCCCAAACATAGTGTTCGAATTTGATTCAAATATTGGGCCTTTATCGACACTGGAAATACTGAATAGAAATTTAAACCCATATTCTAATCGAATAATTTTTTGGTTTGATTAGTTTGTTAAAAAAAAAAAATTGTTTGGTTTGAAGAGGGATCAAACACGTGTTCCTACACGTCAACAACAAAAGCGGGTACCAACAAATCGAGTCAGGTAATTGTGAAAGTTTACGTAAATTACTTTTTCCATTTTAGAAAAATATTTCTTTCAAAATAATTGAGAATAATTTTTGGAATTTAAAACCATATTTTTAGCAATTTAAAAATGTATTTCTCTTTTAATAACGAGAGGATTATAAACTATCAAGTAAATACATAATCAAATCAGGCTATTGGCTTGCAAATTGTAAAGTTTCATAAGCATACGTATGGAACATTCTCCACACAAAAAATCAAACTTTTTTTCTTGGCAAACCGCTAATTTTGTGCTTTGCTTATCATGGGATTCAATATGACACATTGCGTTAAAGATTTGAGTCAGCAGTTGAAACAACTAATCAAACCCTATATGAGTGTCCTCACTTACAACAAATTTGGGAATTATCGTCAATTCCAATACTTATTAGAAGTTTCCCATATTCTTCGGTGTACTCAGAATATGAAATTCATTGTTTGGGATGTGACTTTTCATCTGGACGAAATAGAAAAAAAAACATATTTTATCCTGGATTATATGATTTATATGGAGAGATACCAATAAAAAGATGTTTAAAGGAGTTTAATCAATCGCATTAAATGTTGTTAGACTTTTAGTGAACATTTATTATGAGAAAAAGCTCAAGCTAAGCCCGAAAACATCAAAAAACCATCATTTTTAATCAACTTATCTTGGAAAAACTATTTAATAACATTCTCTTTCTAATTTCCCAAAAAAAATATATATAAATCCAAGGGGTAACATCTCTAAGTGTAAACAACTTAACCTTAAGTGTTAACAATAAACCTTTTAAGTCGCCATTTTTTGCAACTTTATCTTCTAAAAATCTAGAAAATGTAAGTCAATCCTGAAAGTCAAAATAAATAAACAATATAGTCCGTTTTTTCTACTATTATATATTTTTTTAAAAAATATAAATAATATAGCAAATCGTAGTCCTTATAACTAGAGTTCAAATATATCTTCAGAATTTTTAAAAATAAATGTATGTGATCGTAAAATCGTTAGAAAAATAAATTTATCTAATATAAGGACTATTATATTAGACTTAATATAATGTTTTTGCATTTTTGGAATATGAATAGTAGAACTGCAAAAATTGAGAAATTTAAGGGTTTATTTGCACAAAACCTTTAGTTAAAATGATAAAATGTTTAAACAGACTATTTAATTTAGTGGTGTCAGAAAACAGAAAAAGGAAAGAAAAAAACATTATTAGGCAGTAGGCACAACTTATATCGAACTTAAAAAAGACAAAAAAACAAAAAAAAAAAGGCGCGTCAGAGTGTATTGGAATAATTTCGTATTTTGGGTACGACAAGTAACTTTACTCTTGTTTGGTCCTAAAGTTTTAAACATCTTCAGTTGCTTTTCACTTCCATTGTCCGATTGAAGATAATAAATCAGAATCGTCTCCTAAATTTCGCCTGTATTATATATTCTTTCACTTAAGTCTTCAAGCTGGATCTAACAATCAGCAGTAATCTGCTGTTTTGTAAGGATATTTCACCAATTTCGTAAATTTAGGTATTGTATATTCTTTCACTTTCTCTCAGTCATAATTCAGAAAACAGAGAAAAAAGTTGATATTATATATTGTTATTTGTAACGTATAAGAGATTGGATTTTGCTTAATGTGTATCTCAAAGATTCATGCTTTACATGTAAATTTTACAGGATCATTACTTTTACTTTACTTCATAGTTCTTTCTTTATTGTGTTTTGGTTCTTATACCCCAATTTTGTTGATCTCCAAGTGTTTAAGAACTCCGTTCTTACTGCTAGTGAGACACATCAAGAATATGCATTTGTTTAATATATTTATATATTTTGTCTTGTCCCATTGTTTTGAGCTTGTCGTCTTATAGTTTATAGTCTTCTGTGTAAATTGTTATATGATATAATGAAATTTTTTTTGCTTGATAAAGGAAAATTTGGTAGAAATATATGCTTAGTCAATGAAATACATAAGAGATTAGTTGTCTCTACCTAGTTTTATTCCCTGATCATTCATAATAGTATTTTTCTTCTTCATTGTGTTATGATTTTCATTGACATATCATTGTTTATGTTTCAGGTACTCAGAAAAGCGAAAAGATGTCGAAGCTGTCTTGGCAAGCAGTGGTGATTGAAAGTGTACTTCTGATAATAGTCCAGTGGTTTGCAGATGGGTACCCGGAAGCAGATTTGGTTGTGAGACTTCCAGGTCAACCAAAGGTGACGTTCAGACAATATGCGGGGTATGTTGAGGTCGACTTGAGCGTTGGGCGGAGTCTTTTCTACTATTACGTTGAAGCTGAAACACACCCGGACACAAAACCATTAACCTTGTGGCTCAATGGAGGTTCGCGTTTTCTGTATGTACATGATTAATATATACTTATCGACATTTCAATATCACCAATGTGTGAAAGTTTAAATTGAGGTTTGTATTGCAGGTCCAGGTTGTTCTTCAGTTGGTGGAGGAGGTTTCACCGAGTTGGGTCCATTTTACCCAACAGGTGATGGTCGCGGCCTCCGGATCAATACCATGTCTTGGAACAAAGGTCTATTCTTGATACTTTTATGCAAATTAACATAGAATTGTGATCTTAGTTCTGATGCTATTGTCTCTTGTAAAAATGTGCAGCTTCTAATCTGTTGTTTGTGGAGTCACCAGCTGGAGTAGGATGGTCTTACTCCAACCGAACCTCTGATTACAACGCCGGGGACGAGTCTGCCAGTAAATTTTCTCGTTTTCAGAGGATTTTCCTTTTACTATATTAGAAGAGGGTTGTTTCTTGACAAGCTATTTCTTTGTAATTGAATAGCCAGTGATATGCTCCTTTTCTTGTTAAGATGGTTTGACAAGTTTCCAGCATTGAAATCTCACGACCTCTTTCTCACTGGCGAAAGCTATGCTGGTGTGTCTTCGATGTCGATGAAATATATCAGACTTTAGCCTTAAAATCTTCACTATTCTCAATTAAGTGTATTCTTTTGCAGGACATTACATACCTCAATTGGCTGATGCAATTCTCAGCTACAATTCACGCTCAAGTGGTTTCAGATTTAACATCAAAGGCATTGCAGTGAGCAAAAGAACTTTCTTCCTGACATTCTATGAACTCTATTGGTTATCTTCTGAATCCTTTGTCTGTTTCTGATCAGATTGGGAATCCACTTCTGAAGCTTGACAGGGACGTTCCAGCTGTATTCGAGTTCTTCTGGTCGCATGGTATGATCGCTGATGAAGAAAGACTCACCATCATGAACCAGTGTGACTTTAAAGATTACACATTCGCCAGCCCCCATAATGTAAGCAATATTTGTCATGATGCTATCAGAACAGCTGGAAACGTCATCACTGAGTACATCAACAACTATGATGTACTACTCGACTTTTGCTATCCGTCTATCGTCCAGCAAGAGCTGAGGCTCAAGAAAATGGTCATCCCTTTTTAACTTCTTGGTCCACCAATAAAACTTTTGTTGAACTGTCTGTGTCAATTTTTAAAAATGACTTTCAGGCTACTAAGATGAGCATGGGAGTGGATGTTTGTATGACCTACGAAAGACGGTTGTATTTCAATCTCCCAGAGGTGCAGATTGCACTTCACGCGAACCGCACTCACCTGCCTTACGAATGGTCAATGTGCAGTACGTAAGTATATCACCCACTCTCTGTTTCATTGATGAGAAAAATGACGAAAATGTTTCATTGATTGCATTTGGCTGTTCACTTTACCTGTCACAGCCAGTTGAACTACTCTGGAATCGACGGGAACATGGACATGCTTCCGGTTCTAAAGAGAATTATACAGAACAAAACTCCTGTTTGGATCTTCAGGTAAAGATTCTAGAGTAAAATCCCTGCTATCTCCTTCTTCTCATACTCTTTACAACTAAACATCAAGCTTCTTGAAATTGCAGTGGAGATCAAGATTCTGTAATTCCTTTTACGGGTTCAAGATCACTTATACGGGAACTTGCTCAAGATCTCAACTTTGAGATAACAGTTCCATATAGAATTTGGTTCCACAAAAGACAGGTAATGTCTTACACAATTAACCAAATACTAAAATCAGCAGAACCCATGTTTGCTTCTTGCTCCTGCAAAAATCTCTCAAACTGATTAAATTTGTGAATTTTGGTATGTGACTAGGTTGGCGGCTGGGCCATAGAGTATGGCAATCTATTGACGTTTGCTACGGTTAGAGGAGCGGCTCATATGGTGCCGTATGCGCAGCCGGCACGAGCTCTGCAATTGTTCAGTAGTTTTGTGAGTGGTGGGAGATTGCCCAACAAACCACACTCCTCTACTGATGACTGAAAAGAGAGAAGATCTCTTTTACACGTGCCACTAAGGGGACTTTTGTATCGATTGACATTAGATTAGTAGAGATTGAAACATATAAGGGTTTATTTTGTGATCTTCAAGTGAAGTTTGTTTTAGTTGTCTTAATGTCCCAGCAAGTGTTTTACTATTTTTACTAAGAGGTAACAACTCATTCGATGACACTGATTACGTTGACAAATAGCAAATGATAAATGTTAAAATAACTGCTAAGTATCATTATATTGTCTATATGTTTATACAATCTATAATTTCTTCAGTTTTTCATCCTTGGGACTCTCTGTGTAAGAAAGATACTTTGTAATCCTTAGTTGTTATTTGTTCCATCACACAGTCAGCGTCGAGAGATTTGAATAACTTAAGTAGATAAAGATGGAAATATCAAACTGAATCGGCCATTAAGAGACCTGATAAATTACGGTTGCTTATGTTCAGCAGAATAGACCATCTCAGTTTTTAATACAAAGTGAGGGATCTCAGTAAATAAAGAAAAGATACTTTAAACATCTGAAACTTATGGAACCAATTCTGCCAAGTAACTTGTTTATGGACTTTAATCATCTTTTAGCCGGCCTTCAATATCACGCCTTAGTAACTCCGCATATTCCTGCAAATACAGGTTCTGGTAAGGGAAACTTTTATTGTTTATTAAGCAAACTAGTATGTTTGATGCTTACTTGAGAAAGAACTTCATCACAGCAAAGCTCGTTCACAAGGTCGTCTTGGCTCACAGCGGCATTTTCGACCATAGCACGGAAGACATCCTCTGGTGGATCAGAGTGCTCAATCATCTGCGCCATGGATTGAACATTTACCTATGTGGACAAAATTTAGAAAATGCATTCATTACAAGGACAAAGACTAAGAAACAATGTTGTTTCCTGAGACCAAATCAATCAAAACCCAAATGAAATTAAGAGAACCGATCTGAAAAAGTTAGATTTTTGCTAGGCCAAGTAACTAAAAAGATTTTACCTTTCCTAGAACTGAATAGACAACAAAATCCAAATCAAACTGGAACCTAACTTTTTTTTGAAGCAAAAGATATGGTTGGTTAAAAACCAAACCTAGACATAACTTCAAACCAACCGCCCCAAACAAAAAACCATACAAACTCCATCCATACTAGATAAAGTTCTTCTTCAGTCACTGTTTTTGTCCTTCTCTTAAAATCAAAGGTAAGAAAATCCAAAAATTCCCAAGCGAAAACTAAACTAAAATCAACCATAGGCGTACCTGTAAAGGTTGAAGATCATCAGGCTGCTGTGTTGCGGGTTGAGGCGATGGCCCTCCTTGGCTGAAAGCACGTGAGACTAAAGGCATCATTTGTTGGACCATTCTAGAAAAATCAAAGCCGCCACCCTCCCCTTGAGCTCCGCCTGACATCATATTTTCTATCTCTTGCCCATCCACCTGTTGAGCAATTTGTTGGACTGTGTTCATGATCTGTGGGTTCTGAGTAAATTGCTGGAGCATATTTCTCAGCATATTTGGCGAATCAACACCAGCTTGTCGAGATACCCCTGCTAGCAATCCATCCAATACAGGGCTCTCCAAGACCTGAGTCATTGCACTTGAGACATCTAGCTGATTATCTGAACCTTGCCCAAGTCTCAGACCAGTCTCATCTGAACGAGAACTACCAGAAAAGAGTGAATGCAAAAGCTGCTGACCACTACTCCCACTGCTCTGTTGCACACCTTCAAGTGTAGCTGAAGTCCCACTATCTTCATTCTTACCTAATACCTTAGGCTGCTTGCTTCGTTTCTTTAACCATAAAAGGATACCGTGACTGTAAGAATTTGAAACCACATACTTGTGGATATGCTATGCAATGAAAAAAACGTAGCAGCGATTTGCCAATTATTTTCAACTAATTCATTACCTTACGGTCTAAACCGCCAAGCCCCAATCCAAGTGGCGTAGCTGTAGAAGCCTCTGGAGTAGCCTTCTTGGCTTCTTTAGCATCACTGGTAGTATCTTCCCCCTTGCTTGTGGATTCTCCAGACGGAGCTGAAGATTGTCCTGTAGTAGAAGAGATATCTTTTGCAAGGACTGGATGCCCTAAATCTTCACCAAGTTCTTTTTTACTCTGATAATGGTTAAAAGACCAAAAATTAGTGATAAGCAAAACCCTAGTAAACAAATAAATAAACATCTGATTGCAGAGAAGACATACCACCGAGTTGCTGCTTTCAGATGGTAAGTCATGCAGCGAGCCACTTGAAGACTCAGGTGTGCAAGAAGCTGCAATGTTGGTAGGCTGCTCAGGAATAGCACCGGTAACTCCATGGCCCGTAGACTGCTCAGGAGCTTCTGTTCCTAATTGATACGTAAAGAATAGCTTGAAAGCTTGAAAATATTTTATCCAAAATGTAAAACTTAAGTCAGCAGGCAACCTACCTGACGGAATCTGGTTTCTTCCTTGCATATTGTTTACCAATTCTCTAATTCTTGCATTGATTTGTGCAACAGATTCATCCAAACCAGGTTGAACCCCGGCGGAAGCATTCTCACCGGTAGAGCCTGATGGAACAGCAGTAGCAATGATGTTTCTCACTGGGAGAGCCCGAACTGAATGAGTATTGTTGTCACCGTCTCCTTGCCCTCCTCCATTGCTTTGCTGGTTCCCAACTGATGACATCATAGGTGAACCTGATGTGCCTGGTTATTAAGAATGGATTTCAATGGAGACAAATTTGTGCAGCTAAGTCAAATGGAAAAAAAAAGAAAGAGAACTTCACCCACCAGCGTGTATGTGAATGTTAATATGCCTTTGGGGAGTTCCTAAACCAACTGGTCCGCTTACTGGATTCGATGCGACAGCAGCACCAGTAAAGAGAGAGCTGGTTTGGTGAGGAAAAGGCTGCAAAATACAGTACAAAATTACACAAAATATGAGAAATTAGCTTAGAGAAATGGTTGAGACTAGAAGCTTACCTGAGCCATAATAGGATTCGGTCCTGATGGAGATATATAAACAGCAGGGCCAGCATTCACATAGGATAATTCCTGTAGATCACAGTATTTGTAAGCCACATGTCAAGAAAAATAGGAAACATTTAAGAAAGATATGACCCAAAACGCACCGGAGACTGTGCCATTCTCAATGTCAAAATTGTCCGTCCAAGCTCCAATAGGAGGGCCCCAAAATGCTGCATGGCAAGGCCTACTTGTACAGCCTCTGTCTGGATTTGTGCCCTGATAGTAGGATCTGAAGAGGTCCCATCTTGCTCTAAGCGTCTGGCAATATGCTACAACAATGTTGTTGAAAATTACAAAGAGCACATGATTAGATGACAAGGCATGCTAAGCATAAACTTTTCAATTTCCCGATAAGGAACATGATTAGATGACAAGGCATGCTAAGCATATTTTTGCAATTTCCCGTTAAGGAACGTAAAGAAAAAGAAGGAATCAATTAATCAGCAGTGTAAAGAAGGTGTTTACCGATAAAGAAGAGACACCTAAACCACTCAGTAAATGCTGTGCATTCCTTAAGACAATAGCAAGTGCTTCGGGTGTTGATGCACCTCTTCGATTTCTAGGCAACTCTTCCCTTGGCTGGCCTCTGGATGTAGCAGAAGAGGTATCTGCATGATAGCCTGGAGGAACATCCAATTAAATTATTGACGTGTTCTCTATCAACTACTACAATAAAACTTAGATCACTATACCATTTCGTGATAATGCCTGCTCCATCTGATTAATGAACTCCATTAGAGTCTCTAACGAATCCGGAATAGGCTGCAGAATAAGATAGTTATATTGTTAAAATAACAAGATTAAGGCTCTAGTCTCAAGATTAAAATACTAAATGACTAAGAAATACCGTTAGAAATGAAGGAATAGGAATTGCTGTAGCTGCTGTAACCGGAATCTGAACAACATGAGGCATCGAAGTTTGAAATGATACACCAGGAAATGCTTGCCTAGGATGTGAATGACCCGCAGCTTGGTTTTGACCACCGACGCCAGGCGCTCCATCAGATGTATTTCCAGGAGGAGCATGAGACGACAGATTCGACTAGGGGATAGAACCGCATGCAACATTTTGATTTAGAAAAAGGCAATACTAAATGACAATACCAACTAAAACAAATAAAACCTCACATATCAAAACAGCAACAGATTCTCAAGAATCCTCAATGTAAAAAAATTCTGACATGAATGATATAAAAAGGTCCAGCTAATAGAGCAAAATGGCAGACTAGGCACTAATAAGAAATAATTTCGGAGTAGAGAGCGAAGAGAGAAAAACTCACGGGCATAGAGGATTGTGTGCCATTAGTACTGTTATTTATAGGATGCTGTCCACCAACACCAAAAGAATTAAGAACTGCTCCAATTACCTAAGCAACACAAAAGTAAAAGTGGGTTAGCCACATTTTCCACGGCTGAACTGCTCCAAAGCCCAATCAAACAAACCCGTCTGACAGACAATATGTTCCGCAGAAGACAACTAAATAACAAATCTTTAAGGATTACCCGGCTGAGATCTGGAACCATGCCTTCAGTCTGATCTCCAACATTAAAGCTCCCAACCATTACGCTGTGGGAGACATGTCTTCCATTTCGAGATTGTCCACCATTTGTACTATTTCCTGTTGAATCAAACAGTCAGTTAAAATGAAGGTTCTGAATACCAGATGATAGTTGTGTTAACAGCTCCTTCAAAACTCATAAAGTTCATATGAATTAATTACCATCATTTGGAGCTGCCCCTTCAGAAGGTGTACCAGATGAAGGAACTGATTCTGCTGGCTGCCTCACAACCAAGTGTAAAGTATGTCCATTTTCCAAATCTAAGACGATGTCAAGTTATTAACCATACTGAACTAAACAAGCGATGGAAGGAAACGACAGACAAAAAGCTAAGCTTAGCAAAGAGTTATATAGCTTTTTTCTAATGGATTACAACTTCCACTACAATTAAGATTCACAGAAGAAATCAGCGGAAAGTACATATCATTTCATGAACACGCTATTAGATCTTCCTTAACTATACAAAATCAACCATATGCATTAAATCGCCAATGAACTTGTTAAAAAGCATAGATGCACTTAATCAATCAAATGCCAGACTTTCGACTGATTTGGAATACATGCATTTTATACACAAGGCACAAAGCATAACGCAACAAAAAAAAAACTACCCTATAACATAATCTCCAAAGTTAATAAAGCAAGTAGCACAAGGATACGATACTCCGAGAGAGGATGATCATCTTTCAAAACCCTTCCTCGGAAAATGAGCCGCTGCTGACCAACAGGCACCCCTGTCTCACTAGCTATCTTCTCCTTGAAAACTGAAACTGTTTCCTGAAACAATCCAACCCCACAAATAGTATCACATATAAGAATACTAACCTTCAGTAAATATGCAGATGAAGAAGAAAACAAAGGATAAGATCTCTTACATTCTTGTCCACTTGGAAAGTATACGTCTGTGAGTCTAACGTCTTAATGTTAAGCTCAAGGGTTGATTCTGGAGACTTCTCAGATGCATTGCTGCTACTAGAACACTGGTTAATAGGTTGATCTTCCATGAACCCTAAAGTACTCAAATTGAAAACACACAAAAGTTCGTAATCAATCATCTCAACAAAGCAGCATCCAAATCTTATTAGGGTACTCAAATTAGTACCATTTCCACACACATTTCTAAGTATTGATCAATAGGAACACATTTAACAATAAGACACAAACAAAAAGACCAAGACCTAAACATTGTAATAAAAGTACAAAATAAAAATCAAAACTTTAACAGTCCAAAGCCACAAAAACCACGAAAACAGAGCCAATAGACACGAAAAAGGGAACAAAACTTCAAATTCCATAAAGGGTACATGACGAACGAAGAACAAACCTATTTTGCCGTCGCTGGAGATTGGAAAAATCGAAACTTTACAATAGATGATGGTAAAGGAAGATCCTGAGATTGAAATCTAGAGTTGAGTATGACAAAGTTGATCCACGAAACCAAAAGCTTGATTTGTTCGGAGTTAAAAGGGGAAGAACAAGGAGGATTGTGTCGGAAATTTTGGTGAAATTGAAAAGAGGAAAAGAAGAATCTAGAGGAAGATGCAACGACGCCGTTTTTTAAAAAACCTGAATTGCCGCATCCGCGAATATAGGCCTAAATGTGGACTCTTCTAAATTAGATTAAAGCTGGGCCTGGGCTCTCTAACTGTATTTAAGATATTTTAAACATGTGATTTGGTTTATAATTATAATCTAACTACTGTAAAACTTCTATAAATTAATCGATAAACTATTAATTTTTATAAATTAATAAAATTTTCCGATTCTAAGTTAGAACCAGGAAAAATAGCAAAAATCAAAACCAAACTATTTGATGACGATATTTTTATATCCAAACTACGATAATCAACAAATAACAACCTAAACTCACAAAACATTCAAATTTCCAACCTAAACTATATGAAATCAGCCAATATCAACATATACGGAAACAGCGTTAGTTAATTAATTAATGGCGATGAGTTAGCCAACACCGTGGCAATGCTAGAGCATCATAATTGAGTAATATGACGTTGTTTCGTGAATTTAGGGTTCTCGAATCAAAGAATTGCTAAAGAAAACACTCATCGAATCTTCAATTCAAAAACCATACTCACGAAACGATGTCATATTACTCAACTACGATGCTGACATTGCAACGTCATAACACTTATGATTTAATTGCTAGAGTTGGTCTATATATAACGTCATATTCTCCAAGTTCTACTGCCCATTTAGCCAATCTCCCTGGCACTTCTGGCTTGTGAAGCAATGCCTTTATGGGTGGTGAGGTAACTAGCATGATAAGATGAGCTTAGAAATATGGACATAGCTTTCGTGCTACTGTTATCAGTGCAAGTTCTAATTTCTCTATATGGTTGTACCTTGTCTCGTCTTCTAAGAGAGATTTGCTCACATAGTACACATGATATTGTTTGTTTCCTTCTTCACGTATGAGGACTCCATAACAGCATGTTCTGACTCATCATGATACAGCAACAACACTTCTCTATCTTTAGCTTTTGATAAAACGGGAGGCAAAGTAAGGTACTCCTTCAAGTGTTTCAGTGCTTTCTGGCAATTGTCTTCCCATAAAAAATCTTTTTGCTTTGGTTTTTGCAAGGCGGCAAAGAATGTATGAGATCTATTGGAGAGTCTCGAGATAAACCTGATGAGTGCAGCTCACTTACGGATCCATACTCTTCATTAAACTCTTCTTCAAGTTCTGATATATCACCAAAACTTGCTTCAAACTCTTCTAAACTGAATTGGGATTCAGTTTCACCTTGATAATCTTCCTCATGGCCAGACGAAGGTATCCCACACCATGGTCTATCTTTTTCTTGACTGAACTGAGAATTAGTCTCCTCACAATATGCCTCCTTTTCATTGCTGATATGAGAAACATCATCTCCACACCATAAATTATCTCCTCGCCATAAATCATATCTATGGAATTATGCAGCTTCACTTTCGTCCTCTCGTCGTACCAAGCTTGATGATTGGTGGCATCTAGGGAGCGGTCTGGTGGCTCTGGTTCACTCTCAAACTCAGAATTAATGCGTTCATCTCCAGGCCATGGTGGTGCATCGTAGTTAGCTTCTTCGTCAGAGAAATTATGGCTTAGTTTGTCTTGTTTGAATCCATTGAGACTGGACTCATATTGACTTGCTTCTTCTTCTGAATAGTCTTTCATGTCTACAATCCTTCAAGATTCTCTTCCACAAAACAAAAGAAAGAAAAAAAGATTAAGATAGTATCAAGCAAAGATAAAACAAGAAAGAAAATAACAAATATGTAACAACCCATCCCGTGGGAACCCATCGACCCTAACCTCTCTCCTGGGGGCCCAAACTGCGCAGCCCACTTGCTCGCAGCCTCCTGACCCACCAGGTAGGTTATTGGTGCGCCTGGCGTTCCTCGAACCCAGGTCCTCACCCTTTAACAACCTTCCCACAGGACAAGCTGTTACCAACTGACCTGCATATCAATTGGTGACAACTTCCACGGTGGGAAGGTTGTTAAAGGGTGAGGATCTGGGTTCGAGGAACGTCAGGCGCACCAATAACCTACCTAGTGGGACAGGGGGCTGCGAGCAAGTGGGCTGCGCAGTTTGGGGGCCCGCAGGAGAGAGGTTAGGGTCGATGCGCTGCAGCGCTGTAAGGATGCCATGTGGCGGGGTTTGCCACATGGCGGAGTGTTCCCACGGGGCAAGGTGTTACAAAATAAATGGTAACAAAAAATATGTATTTTTTTTAATTTTTTCTTTTCTTCAAATAAATTCAAAAATTTCAAGTAGTAAAATGGAATAACATTTTTATTTTTATTTTCTGATTTTATAAAAATAAATTACACAAATTAATTTTAAAATAAAAGAAATATGATTTTATGGCTTTTTCTTTTAATAAAATGTAAATAAATAATAAACTAAAGCAAATAATGTTTTGTTTTTTACATATAAAAATATATAAAAAAAACAAAAAAATAGAAAAACAAATATAGGTTGAAAATATACAACTTTGGATAGGAGCTTTTGAAGCTCTGATATCTGATAATACAGTATTGAAATCACTTCAACTTTAGATCACTTGATGATCAAGAGATTCCAAGCTTAGCTTGCAGAAGGTAGAATTTACGAGCTGGCTCTAAAGCACTCTCTCGTGAATCTGGGGTGGTACATGGGATAGTTTAGGTGATTGACTCGCTCAATCAGTGGAATAATCGACTCACTCGATCAATGGAAGAATAAAGGATGTTGAATCACTCAACAAACTTAATCCAGAGGTTTCTAAAGAACTAAGTGACACACTCACAAAGAACTAAAGAAGAGCAATGACAAAGACTTGAACTTTGACAAGAAGAAACTTTGCTATTACTTTAATATCATCAATGGTGTTTTTACAATAAGTCTAATGATCAGCTTATATAAGGCTGAGTACAATGTTCTAAAATCTAAACAAAGAAATAAGATATGCAATATTAATCAAAAACTAGCCGTTAGAGTCTTTATGGAGGAATCCTTGGACAAAGATGTGAGATATGATTGGGCTTGTATCTGGACGTTTTGGGGGGGATATAGGGGGGATATGTGGAGTGTCTTGAAAGTTTCTTGATGTTAGTAAGAGCCTTAAATACGCACTAAAACAAAGAAGGAAGGAGCCGTTTTGTATTGATGCCAAACGGGTCCAAATATGGTAAGTAGAGCTCAGACTTGATCCACCTGATCAAGTGTGGGGTGGTGCATCCTAAAGGGTGTAATGAAGCCTCTAAATGATATGGAAACTCTCCAGGTCTCCATTAGAATATTTGGAATGAGTCATTTAAGGAAACATCTATTTTAAGCTTCATGAAGATCATGTGAGATGAGGTGCACCAACTTTTCTGTGGCATGGGCCTTAAATGGTTTAAAGTGTCTTCTAGGCTTCATTTCAAATATCCATACACACCATTACGTGGTACAAGAAAAACTTCTTTGAATAACTTCATCTGGTCTTGTACTACTTCAGGTCCGTCGGCGAGTACTTCAGCTAGTACGTCAGGATGTACCATCGTTGAATCACTTGGTTGGTAAATGATTCCTCCTGAACCATTAGTCTTCTTAGGGTTAATTTTTTGGTGAATAATTAACCCTAGGCCTTGAGCTTGTTCAACACTCCATATAGGCAAGCATTCTCCAAAATGCTCCATGTGAACCGGTTTGGTGGGTGGGATGGTTTGCTCCCAGTTTATTCTGGTTTCGATGTCGGCATCATGAACGCTTGATGTAGGTGCGCAATGTGGTCTTCCGCTGCCAATGACTTCACGAGCATGTAATCAATGTAAACTTTCATAGTTTTACCAATTTAGTTAGCTAACATCTATTCACAAGTCTTTGGTAAGTTAAGCCAGCAAATATCATCGATATAAAGTGATGTCGTTCGGGATCATATTGTTAGCGAACATCATATTCAAACCGAACGACATCACTTCATAACAATATATGCCTCGTGTAGTCATAAATGAAGTTTTTTTCTTCGTCATCTGGATGAATTAGGATTTGATTGTAGCCGTTGAAAGCGTCCATGTCCAGCTGTAGCATCTACAAGTTTGTCGATGTGAGGTAGTGGGAATGGATCTTTAGTACATGCCATATTGAGATCGGTGAAGTCTATGAAAACCCGCCATTTCCCGTTCTTTTTCTGAACTACCACAACATTGGCTAGCCATTCGGGATATTGTTCTTCTCGTATGGATCATGCATCCGAAAGAATTTAGACCTCTTTATTAATTATTGAATCGTGCTCCGGTGCAAATTTCCTCGTTTTTGTCTAACTGGTGGATGGTCCGAGTCTACTTCTAGATGATGCATGATAACCTTAGGGTCAATCCTAGGCATGTCAGCGTGCGTCCATGCAAAGCAATCGGCGTTTAATCTCAGAAAGTCGACAAGCCTCTTCCGTATGTCGGTTGGGAGTTTCGAACCCACATTCACTCGTTTTTCAGGATTGTCATCAAGCAATTTCACCTCATCCAGGTGTTCCACCTCTGGTTCTTCGTTGTGACTCTGTGAGGTCCCAACAATGGTTTCTGTAATTTCTACAATTGTTGACTTCTACCTTTTAAGGTAGTCTGAAAGCACAAGCGTGATCTCTCCTGTTATTCTACTATCTCTTTCACTCCCCATGGGGTCAAAAATTTGATAGTCTGGTGTAGTGTTGATGGAATGGCTCCCATGTCATGAATCCAAGGGCGTCCCATGATAGCATTGCACGCTGAAGCACAATCCACTACCAAAAACTTTGTCTATGTGTTGACTGCTTCTGTATACACTGGAAATGTCACTTCTCCAATAGTTTGTTTGACCTCACCACTAAAACCTACTTATGGAGGAGATTTTCTTGTTAGTCCTTCCTCCCTGAGACACAATTCTTTGTATTCTTGCATAAAAAGAATGTTAGTTGAACTTTCGTTGTCGACTTGTCAATTAATATTCCCCTCATTAAACAATTAGCAACTGTCAATTGTATGACTTACGCA